GGGGCGAAACAGGAAATATTCCTTCCGCATCGATGGTGAATTCAAAAGGCATAAACCTTCAAATTGATAAACCGAATGGAATCCCCGCAAACAATAGAGCCAAAGAGCACCACGTGCCCAACTATTTTCCATCTATATATACTCTATATATAATATATCCCAGCTCCGCCTCGGGCATATGGCGCTGAAATCAGTTAGAGAACACAGGCCTGTTATTAATACGCCAATCAGCATAAGCAGCTGATGCGTTGATAATGCCCGGGGGCAGCAAACAAGGCGGGAAAACTCTGAGGGGGCGAAACTAATTCACAGACATTCCGAACCGTCAGTAGTCATAAATTTGGCCAGGGGGCAGAAAAAATAGGAAGAAAGTGTGAGGAAAAAGTACACACAAAAGTTAAAGTGAAAATTGTTCGGAATGCACCGAGAAATATTAAGAATACGCAGAAATTTACTTTAAGGAAATAATTTTAATTTTTTAAATTAAGTTTATCTTGTTTTTTAGTCTGATAGCAATAACATAGAAAGTTCCTTTGCTCAGTAAATATTTCGTTGCATACTTTTGAGCACAATTTAAATATGTTTTAAATCCACTCTTTTCCCCTTTTTAAGAAAAAGATTTTATTAAAGTAATTTTATTAAAAGAGATTTATATATTTTTAATTGATTATACAAGTACTTGCTTATAAATTTTTTTACTGTGCCAAAACAATAGAGTTGAAATGAAGGAATATGGGAGAAAAAATTGCTATAAGGCCCGCCCTGCTTATCTCTAAAAGAAAATCAGCAAGCAAAACTACTGCTAGCCCTAGTCGAAGGACTCCAAGGGGAGAAATTGAAGCGGAAGTGCTCGAAAAAAAAAAGAAAATTCTATATGTAAAGCCAAAAGAATGCTCTATACTCTCTAACACTCACAAAAGGCCTTGGCAGGAAGTGTAAGGAGCTAGGAAAGCTCGCGCTGTGGTCCTTCGTGGAGTATGAAAGAAAGAAAAAAAAAAGGAGAGTGCAAGGATACGGCGCAGTATGATAAATAACAGATGAGCAAAGGGTGTCAGCTTTGGGCCAAGACGTGGCTGCTGTCGAGGAGCGGGAAAATTGGGTTCGTTGCTTATTGAATGTACGACATCGGAGCAAACACTTGCCAAGGGGATCTAAAAACATGAGGGCTTTGCACAGGCGACAAGAAAGTAAATAAAAACAGAATTATAATTGATAAAGCAAAGATTTTAAATTAAAATATTTAAAGATAAAATAAAAATACTTGAATTAATATAATTAAAATATATAATAATTATCCCTGACTTTAGTCAAGGTCAAAATCTAAAGATTTAAAATTCGATTTAAAAAATCCTTTAAATTGTTTATACTATCATAAAAAGTTACATATTAAATAGCTTTCCTCAACTCCAAGAACTTTTCCATAAATGTCTTTTACTTTTTGTGCCCCTCTGGGGACTTCCCGCCAACTTTAGTCGCCTGGCACAAAAAAAAAACACATAAAAAAAGTAAAGTGAATAAAAAAGTACTCATGTCTGCTGGCATTTCTTTAGCCCCCGTTGACAGTTGCAATTCTTGGGTGAAATTTCCCCCAAATACATTGACTGTGAGAACGTCATGAATATTAAATTGCGATTATTGCCTTTGGCAATGTGTCGTCGACTGACTTGCCAACGTTTGATGGCTTCGCCTGCTTCCCCTCGAGCTGCTTGCCCCCAAGTTTGTCCATGTTTACCCAGATGTTTCCCTCGAAGTCGTATCTCGATTTAGTTGGTCTCTCGTTCAGCTTAATTAAATGCACTTTAATTAAGTCAAAGATATTAGCTGGAGAGCTTTAAACTCGGTCAATGTGCACATGGTTGGACTTGAGATCCATCATCTTTGCGTTTGTCCTCTTTTCGGTGTCAGTTTTGGCATCTCTCTCATGCTGTCGCTCTCTTGATTTGATTGATTAATGGCCTTGAAAGGGGGTGGGAGGAGCAGGAAAGTAAAAATTGGCTTGATGCGATGCTCGCTCTTTCGGCCTGATGTGATTGAGAATTTGATTTATTGGCAGCAAACTAAGTTTGGCCAATGTCAGAGCCAGTCAACCAAATAGAAGTTGACACTTTGCTTTCTTCTAATACATGCAGAAATGCAGTGAGAAAAATTGGTTGTTTAAATAAGAAAATAAAAAAAATATAGAGATAAAGTAATTATAGAAATGATCTCTCAGATTAACCAAAAAGAAAGTTAAAAGAGTCTTTAAAACTCTTAAAATTAATTTTCAATAATTCATTTCATAAATATGAAATCCAAGTTGGCGGCTACCGAAATGCTACTTTTCCCTTTGAAGTCTGAACCCCAAAAAGTTCTCATTTCAGTTTTAATAGATCTCCTGTCAGGTTTAGACCTCTAAAATTCATTTCGTTATTGTAATCTCCTTGTGGAGAAAATCTGTTTTGTTTGGCACTATTTCTACATATATCATCTATAATGATTCGAAATTTCTTGTATGTCATGCCGACTGTGGTGAAGCGGGTACGCAACTCGACCTTCGTAAAATCATCGGAAGCCCAGGAGTTGAATACATCCATCCAAAATCGTTCTCATTATCAAGATAGCGTCCACCAGTCATTGCCAACTATTATGAAGAACCGTCTTAGTGTTCGGAACAATCAATTCATTAAGGTGTTTGGTGTGCCAATTTATGAAGTCCAATGAGAACCTGTAAACGACTGGACACTGGCGGAACTATGTTTCATTTCTACATATTTTGACTACGATTTTGTATGAAAAATGAGACGTTTTTAGCTGGGAAATATATATATATATATCTTTGGGCCGTGATTTTAAGTTTTCTTATTTCTTGTTTTTAAAGCAATCTGCTGAAAAGAATTTGTGCAAGATATGAATTTTTCCTAGAACGGCAGCAGATGTGTAAAACTTTTCACTCACCCTTAGAGAGGCGTCATAATTAAAAGGAGAAAACCTAGAAGAAATTAAAAGGCTGTGAAAAAGAAATAGCACGAACAAATCAAATTAAAAAGTTACAAGTTTCACACACACACAACCAACACCCCACCCCCACTTTTTTGTAGCATTATAACCTTGGCTAGACTTTCATTCTTCTTCCTCAAGTTTTTACCATTTTTCCGGGCCAACTTCCACACACATACACTCACTTATATAGCTCCTACGCTTATTGTGTTGAGTTGGCTTTTGTGGCTCAAACTCGAAAGGGCCCTGTAATTGAATTTGGCCTTTTGTGTTGACAAAACAAATTATTTCAGACTTAACCAGCAAGTGTAGTAGCAGGTCGTAAAAGGAGTCAAGTGAATTATGTTAATTTTTGCGTTGTTCACTTTGGCACTTTAACGCAGATATGCGAATTTAATTCGGTTTACGTACAATCCAATATATATTTAATAACGGCCAACATTCCCTAGCAGGGAACATGAAATAAATTGAAAATATTGTGGCCAGGACGTGCGTGGACGAGGCTCTACCAAAAAGCGAGTATATCGTTGGATAAAATGTGTGACGACGACGTTGGTCACGTGTGGAGGCGTACACAGTGGAGCTGTTCACTGGATAATGATAAAAATGGTTAATATCCTTCTTACATAAAAAGCAAAAGAGAAAAGTGTCGCTTGCAAAAAGTATTTTAATTAAATTTTAAATGCCAATCACGGGAGAATCGAAATAAGCTGGGGAAGGAAACCTGAGCCTGAGCCTGAATTTTCTCGGAGTACAAATACTCTTAATTGGCAATCTGAGACGCACATTAACCGATTGCCGCAATCCATTTGGCTGCCACAAAAAAAAAAAAAAAAAAATAATTCAGAAAGTTAAAAGCTTTTGGAGTAAAGTTTTCCTGGTGAAAACTGGGAAAACTTATTCGTGGCTTGCGGTTTTCAAATTGGAAGGCAAAACATTTTAAGGGGCTAGCGCGGGCAAGCGGCAAGCCGATTACCTGATAAATATGTTGGGTCTACTTTATTGAATATCATAAATCTACACTGGAAAAAAATGTGGCAAGAAAGCTTTAAAAATTAGTATATGTTTGAAGAATTTGAGAACAAATAACATTATCTGAGGATTTCTTTTTAGGATTAATATGGGTCCCATATTATGGGAAGCATTAATATTGGAATATTTGAAACTTTCTGGTCAAATATTTTATATAATAAAAATTGTTAAAAATATTATATAAAAATTTTCTGGCACAAAGTTATATATTCTTCCAAAATGTACGCATTTTACACTATTTAAAAAATTCTATATACCCTTAAACATTAAATAAAATGTGTTTTCTTTATTCTTAAAAATTTTATTCGTAAAAAAAAACCCTTTTTTTCACTGTAATACAGCACAGAAAGGTTCCTGGACTTAATATCCAACCCTTGAACGTTTTTGGTAAAGACCACCTGATCCTTTTACCCACCGCAGGATACACATGAAGCTCACACACACACACACGTATATCGGCATTGCCATTGCCTTGCTCGGTTATTTATGATAATTCAAAGTAATATCCTGCAGCAATTTCATCAACAAAGACACGGCCAGCAAGCGAGTGAGCGAGCGAGCGAGCCAGCTCTCATATGGGGTAAATGCAAATATCCCTCCTTTGTCAGCCAAGGACGACGGCAGCCACAAGGATACCCTCTCATGTGCAACCCATTTGCGGTGCGCTGAAAGGAGGCCTGCCTCCGCGCCTTCGAAATGGCTGAAACGTGTCAAATGTGTGAAAATTGGGAAAATTTGTTTGTCTAATTGGAAGGGAAACGTGAAACGTGAGCGGCTAGGAAAAGCGTTACCCGCTTTTTGGGGGGATCTCTTAATTTATCTAAAAGAGACCAGGTGTGCGGCGTTTTTGTGGACTTTAATCAATGTTGAGTTTAATTCAATTACCATATCAAGTGGTTTTTAAATGAAATTTAAAGATTTTGGGTATAAGCTAGCACTTTAGAAGCTGTATTGTATCGTTGAAACCTACGTAGGTCGAAAAAACTAGCAAATTAACCATAAAACAAACAAATTTATGCATAAAATTTTTAAATACTACAACAAACAATTTTGGATACACTGGACGCTCAACAGGGAATCACAGAAAACTGGCTTTTGCTGCACAAAACGGGCATTAAAAAAGGTTCTGCAGAGTTTCAGACACTCTTATACGCATACGTCTACAGTTGTTGATCTCGACAATGCCTAAGATCCCTGGGGATCGGCGGGACAGGCCATTTGGTACAGGAACTGGACCAAGGTACGCGTTGGCCGGCCAGTCATCGTATTGCTGGGGAGGTATGGTATCAGTCCGTACTTCGTCTGCAAGCCGGTGCCCCGGGTATCCAGATGGGCCCAGTCCACGCACGGTACCAATTCATGGAGAACGGCAGCGGCCAGACACGAGTTGGCCAAGCCCCGGCCATTGTTGCTAACGTCGTAGCTTATGTTATCGGTGACCTGCTTCTTGTAGTAACGCCACAGCGGTAAACGCCACACCCGGTCTCCGGTGAGGGCGCCGGCGGATTGGAACTGCTTCCAGATGTAGTGAGAATTTGAGAAAATACCGGTGGCACCGCCACCGAAGGCCTTCTTGACGCCAGTTCCCACTGTGGCCACATCGACCACCAACCGGGGCTTGTACGTAAATTGACCGTAGATCATGGGATCCGCCAAGACAACCACACTGGCCTTGTCTAGATCACGGATGGCCATAGTTTTGCCATTAAGTAGAGTGACCACATCGCCCGGCTTGCAGGACATGCCCGAGGGCATATTCTCGCACAGGGGTATGATGCAGCTGATATTGATGGGCAGCGACAGGGCGGCAGCGCAACGCATCATGGCCACGCAAGCCGCCGCTCCCGACATGCTGGCTCTGTATTCATTCATGCCCTTGCAGCTCCTTAAATTAATGCCGCCCGAGTTGAAGGTAATGCCCTTGCCCAGGAATAGAATGGGCTTATCTTCTGGATTGGTGCCGCAATAGGTCATTTCCAGAAGGACGGGTGGCTCACAGCTGCCCTTGGCGATCATCAGGAATGAGGTCAGCCTTTGACTTTCTATCCAATCCATGGTTCGGACCTCCACGGTGATGCCACAAGGGCACAGAGCATCCACCGTGGCCTGGGCGAATAGAGTGGGTGTCATACAATTGGCCGGGGTATCGCTTAGTCGCCTAGCCAAATTCTGGGCCTCCGCCTTGAAGAGACCACGCGTCCAGCTTTCCATGTCGGGCGAGTCGTATAAATTCATCGTGGGCACCTTCGGTTGCTTTTTCTTGGAGCCTTTGTCAACGTAACGCCACAAGGCAAGGCCAGTGCCCTCCGCCGCCTGCTCGGCATAGTCCATGCCATCGACAAAGATATCCGTGCAGCCGATCTTTTGCAGCGAACGAGCTCCAACGCCGGCAGCCACACGGACAAACTCCATGCCCTCGTCGAGCATTTCCAGTTCATTGAAGCCGATGCCCTCGAGGCCGACGCCCACCACGGCCACGCTGTGAATTAGGGTTAGCGTTTAATTATATTTAAAATAATAAGCCTATTTTGGTGTACGTAGCAGCGCATATTGTGAGTAAATCAGCTCTTATTATGCTACAAAAAGTTCGTATTTATAAGAACTGCTCATATTGGCTGAAAACATTTCACATTGTGGTAAGCAGCGCTTATTGGCATAAAAGAAATCAGGTTGAATGCGAGAATTTCGAAATTTCCGCATTATAACTTCTTTTCCAGCCGTAACAATTACCTTCTAAACTCTGGATCGATGTTGTTGAAAATCTTGCCGCGTCCCAAGTGGCCTGAGAGCTTCGTTTCACATATCAAATTTGCCAGCTTGCCTTTCAGTTTATCGTCAATCTTCTGGCCGGTGGGCGTCAGTTTGGGATCATTGTCGCCCTCCTTTTGATAAAGGCCGAGCACGAGACCCTTCACTGAACTGGTATCCCCTTCGCAGGCATGCCGAATAGACTTAACAGTCGGCAGGCGACTCTGGACCACAGACTTCAGGAGGCTTGTATTGCGCAGCTTGTTCATATTGCTAATTCTTTAGGATGTATATACCTGTTATCCCTGTTACGGACCGATTTAGTTGCAACAAGGCTGCAATTTCGTGTGCCTTCAAAAAGTTGAATACAGATCCGCGAATTGATTTTGTAACTTGGTGTCAAAACGTAGACGAATGTACACACAATACAAAATACGCAAAAAAAATTATGAATCACGAATCACAACATAGAATTTGGACAAAAAAACAAATTTGTGTTTTTCCTTTATTTTTTTCCTAATCGGATAAGGCACACGACTCTTACAATGCGAGAACTAAACTGATTATAGTTACGAAACTCCTACGAATGCCATTTTTGACAGTCGTAAGTTGGCTTCAAGGCATGCTTTTGGTCATCTATTTTGGATATTCAGTTCTGAGAACTTATCGAAATTCAATGTAAGCTCCAAACAGGATTCAAACTTTTGCAAAGAACAAGAAGCAGGACGTCTACCTTCCCATCTTTGCCTTCACTTTCATTCACTTTATTTACTGAATATTCATTTTGTAGCATTATGGTAATAATCACCTTATTATTCAAGTGCGGACAATAAATTTACCCGCCAGCTGCTTTTTAAATTATACTGCTTAATTCAAGGCAAAACTGATAGAGCCCAAATGGTTTAAGTGGCTAATTAAACGCAAAACTTGCCACTGAATTCAATTCATTTGAGCGCATTAAATTATGCAAATACTGGGCGGTAATTATCTGGCTGATTAATGTAATGAAATGTATCCGACATTGATTAAAGTTTGGTTCAAATGGAAACGGATGTTAATTAGTATCAACACAGCAGTGGATAAAATTTATAGAAGCTCAAAACATAGTGTTTATTTACTAAAATAAAGTATTTTAATTTAAATTGTTTAGTAAGTAGACGAAACCCTCTCAGATCCTTTTAAAAGCCCATAACTTAACCGACTTAGTCAAGACTCCAGAAAATCCCATTCAAAAAGTTTTTCTATAATCGAATAGGAGATGATTTTCAAAGTACTTTTGGAATCTTAAGCGATTCACATAACTGTGAACCCCAAACAAGTATACTGTCTCTGTCTCTGTATCTGTAAATGTATCCCTAAGCCTAAACAGCAACAACTAAACACAGTTTTCTCACTTAAAGTTGAGGGAACATTTGCCATTGAGTTGGCATTTTGAAGAACTTTTCGGCTTTTGGGGAGAATCTGCAGGATACGGCTCTGTGCCGGAACCATGCCATAAAATCGTGTTGATGATGTCTGTCCTATATGGCAGAGTGTGTGTGTGTGTGTACGGAAATGTGTGTGCGATATGCTGCTGTATTAGTGTTGACAACACTTGCTGCCAACAATTTCATTACCGCCACATTTAAAGTTTTGCCAAGCACACATCGAAAATGAGACAGCAGAAGATACATAACATAGCTCTGCAGATGCTGACACTGAGAAAAAAAAGTATATTCTTAGTAAAGATATTAAAGGGTATAAATAATTAAAAACTAGTATGAAAAGGAGTTAAAATATAGGCTGCAATATAGGTTTAATGAAGCTAAACGAACTATAAATTAGTTGTCCTAAAGTTGTTCTCAAAAAGCAAAGATTTGCTTGAGAGTTAACTATTAAATACAATTTAAAATGCGTTATTTTCTTAAATAATTAATTTTTCCTTCTAGATACTTTTTCTTTATATGAGTTTATATATTTTTTTCCCCAGTGACCCTGTACTATATGTGCGCGAAAAGTCGCGTTCAACTATCGCTTATGACTTAGCCTGGCCGGCAGTCTGTGCTGTTTCTATTTTTACAGCAGTCAGGACAGGCCAAGCCATCCATCCTGCGACCCCTGAACTCGCTGCTATCCACTGGAGAGACCCGGAGCTCGTTATAAATGGAAAACTTTTGCTGCTTTCTCAAGTGGTTTTTTCTCTAGTAGTTTCCTCTTTTTTTTTCATCCATTTTTGCCGCACTGTTTTTGGCTGTTGCTTTCCCAGCTAGCTTTTCAGTTCACATTTGATTCGCAAAAAGTTTTTGGCGCTTGTTTATTTTACTTTTTAATGAGAGAGACATGTCGGGATATCGAGATCTCGCATGTCTCTCGTATTTGACGATTAGCCATGTGAAATGGTTTTTGGTCAAGTTCTGTGAAAGGAACAACTTTTGCTGCCCTCATTTTTTTGGAGAAAAGTTTTGTGAAAAGTTTTGGGGAATTTGTCAAGTGGCCATTTCTGTCGCTGCGAAGTGTCTGCGCAACAGTTGAACTCACATTCTCCACGAGAGGTGGGATGTTATCTGTACACTAAAAATAATTATGCATAGGGAAGTAAATTAATAATATTGTGAGATATCATTTTTAACCTAGATTTTGTATCTGCTTAAAGAGAAGGGTGGTTCTTAAACATTTTTTTTTTTATAAATTGTTTTTTTGAAAATCGGAAAATAAATATTATGGACACATTTTAGAGTAGCAAATTGATAAAAATATAATAAGAAATTTGTTCTACAATTAAGAAGTAAAGTAAAGTAAAATTCACTCGTGTGCACATATAATTCCCAACTAGTTCTAACATCTCTAGGTGAGCACATGTGTGTGTTTGTGTTATTATTATTTTGTTATATTAAGCGTGTTACTTACCCTAAAAGTAACTCATTTTTAGCTTAAATCAAGAAAAAATTACACTTAGAAAAAAGCGTCTGTTTTTAAAAGTCAAAGAACCCTCCAACTAAATACATTTTTCTTATTTTCCCTGTGTATCTATCCCGTCTGCATAATATTGATTTCCCTAGCTGGGCAATTTTTTTCAACTTTTTTGCATGACTCCTGGCCTGGACTTATCCTCTTATCCTTGGATCCATTCTAGTCCTTTGGCCATCTTCAATCTCGTTCTCTAGTGGCTGACTGGATAACACACAGCTTGAGTGTTTTTAATTTCAACTTTCCTTTGCCATGCATCCGGGGATCTGGATTTCAATGGGGCAAGCGGATGGATATCAAAAGTCACTGAAGTACCCATCATCTGGCATTTGAACACCAGTCCTAGTCGTCGTCCCTTGTTTCTGCTGATGCTTTCATTTATTTACCGTTTGAATGTGGAGCATTTTTTTGTTGTTGCTTTTTTTGTTTGCCATTTCATTGAAAGTTGCAATGAAATGATTGCAGTATATGTCAGTCAGGGCAATCGACCCGCATTTTATTCATTTTCTAAAACTTTTTTTTCTTTTTTTTTTTTGTTTTTGTCCCCAATTTTGTGGTTCTTTTGCATTGGAATTTATTGGTATTGTACGTTTTTTTTGTAAATTTCTTGTGGTTTTTGTCGCTTTCATTTAGACAACTGACAAAAACAGGTCTAAGATTTTATTTTATTTTTAATTATGGTTTTTGAATTTGTAATGTTGGTTATAGATTATTTACTGTGAAAATGTCTTAAAATTAAAAATATTTCTCTTCGGGTGATAGTTTTTGCTTTAAAAACTTCTTTCGCTTCATTTCCTAATTTGCATCCAAGTATTTCATTTTCAATTTCTAAAATAGTTAAACAAACTTACTTTCCGGCTTACTAGCTTAACCCAAAATTCGGTGAATCGTTCCTTACTCCCTACAGTTTTTTTGGCAAATTGCTAGCAAATAATAAATAATTGAGTTATTTGAGGAATGACAAGGGGGAAATTGGCAGAAAGGAAACGTTCTCATCATTTAAATTGAAGGCAAATATGTAGTTGGACCTGCATCCTCCCATCTCTGATTTTCCATCAGCATCAAATTGAAAACTTTCCTGCTCTCCAACGAGTTGGTCCATAGGAAAAAAAAATGAGAAAAAAAGAGACCAGCAAAAGCCAAGGCAAAATCCTGTCTTACACAGGATGTGTGAGAGTGTCTGTGTGCTAGTCACAGTAAGCCGAAGCTTAGTGGGCCAAAAACGGATGAATTTTCCCTCCTTCTTTTTTTTCAAAGAGACAGACGACTAAAAGTCATTCAGGCTGTGGAGGATGCATGTTCCTGATTTTTTAATTGACGATTAAAGTTAATTGAAATTCATCATTAGGCTGATTGATTGAGAAAAAGGGAGCTCTGGCTCTCATTTTGTTTAAGCTCAATATTTTCCTTTCATTTGCCTAGCATTTATCAATTTGCACTGTTCTGGCATAAGCCGATTATGGCCAGGGCCCAAAATGAAAGCCAGAGATATGCCTGAGGCATTTCGTGCGGTCACGTATAGCCTAAAGAAAAATGGTCCATGACGAAAATCTACTTGTCAGCAACTTATCAAACGGGCGAGAGAGTCTGAGGAGGCCAACCAAAGATTGAGTGGGACAAAAAATTACACTAATTAATTTAAAAAGCTCTGACAATCAGCATCTGTTTGTCTCTGGCACTGGCACTTGGGGAGGAATATTATATGTGCCATCTCGCACTGAGATTTTGATAAAAAATGTATGAACTTTATGAAAGATAAGTGATTTTTAAAAATTTATAAAGTACGATTTTTACGTTTTCTTTTTAAGATAATTGAATTTCTTTAAAAAAGATTGCTGTGAAAATGTTTAAAGAAAAAGTGTATTCCATTTTGTCTTTGGAATTTCTAGATTCTCTTTTCTAATTAGATTATTTTTAAAAAGCTTATTTATCGATAATGTTAATATTTTACGCAGATATATTAATCGATATTTTAACGCTGCGATATATGCGTAGAAACGATATATGTATTTATGATATTATCGATATTTAAATGTTCTAATAAAAGTTTTATTGAAATTAGAAAACATTTTCAGCCTTCCGCTGGGGCTTGTACAATTTTTGTTTTTGTAAACTATCGATATTTTTCGATATACAAACATTTGACCCTTTTTTTTGCCAGTGCATTTCCTATCTGACTGCCTAATGGACGCTGCAAAGTATGCAATATGTAAAACTTAGCGTCAGCGTGAAAGGCAGTCTGTCTTTTGACAGTGCACTGAAAATAAGCGCTGACATTTATTAATGTTAACGCATCAACAACAATCGCTCCGCCCTGGCCTTCGCCTTGGGCCAATGCCATGGGCGTGGCAGAAGCTACACAAGTGGAATTAAATACGCATTTGCCCTGTCAGTTTCCCTCCAGCGTCATAAAAGTTTCAGCCAAAGTCGCTGAGGTGACGGGTAAAAGGGACTTACCGAAGATAATAAAAATGTTAAGGTGCCGGGGCTTATTATAAAAATGACATTAAAGCGACAAAGGATCATCAGCGCTGGGATAATGCACAAAGAGCCAGGCAGTCTTGAGTTATTAAAGTGGATATTCAAGAGGCAATTGGCAACGCCCCGAGCGGGGATTGTGGCAGCTGCTGCC